ATGGTGTTATTACTAAAATGACTCATATTTATTTCAGAATTATTAGAATGTTTTTCTGGTCAAAATTGTCCTTGGCTATAGTTATACAAAAAAACAAATTTAATTATTTTCGGTCGTCGGCAGATTTATTTAAATCTATCGCACGACAGAGTTTTTAAATATGTCTATCGGATGACACAATTGATTTGTCTATATTTTGCTCGATTTGCAAAGAAAACCGATTTTTTAAATATGTCTGTCAGATGACACAACAGATTTGTAAGAAACCACAGATTTTTGCGATCGACTTATTCTCTTATGGCAGGCTTGTTGAATTACGACCGATTTGTATAAAAAAATCGATTCTTATTACGGTAGACTTAAGGTAAATCTACCACCGATTTACAAATGCTGCAGACTTGTTGAATTACGACACGGCCGACTTGTTAGTTTACTTTGTGACAGATTTGTTTAGTTAATTCTCGGTTTAGTAACCAATCTAAATTAAATTCGGATTGAATTCTGGTTTAGTTCAATTAATCCGAAATTCAATTAATTCGAAATTGGTCTGGTCGGAATTTCGTTTAATTAGATTTTGGTTTATTACTAATGGTTTAAGACCACAATTAGGTCTAATTTGTTTTGTCGTAACTGTTGTCATCTTTTTCATCCCTATTTTCTTCCTTATCAAGTTGGTCCATTTCCTTGTGGTTTGAACTCTTGCTTCAATCCTTTTTGCTTACACCATGGATCACATCATTCTCGTCTATTGGAAGTGGAAATTCGAAAGGAAGAAGTGGTTATTTGAAGTTGACAATGAACAAGGTAGTAAATTACTCACAGTTAATGAGAAAACCACAAGAGAACCTTACACTTCCTTATCCGGTTAGGACAAGAACAGTTGATCAAAGAAATATTTTCATCTTTTAATTACATCAGTGCTTTCTACGCGGATGAACTTTATTTTTGTACAATATATCTCATCACTTTTCTAACTTTGGCCATTGTGTCTTGTCAACTAGTAGTCTATATTAGATGAGTAGCACATTGATGATGAATGATAACCGTAGTTCAATTAATTTGTCACAAAATCAAATAGTCATTATCAAATAAGATGTTATACACTGAAACTTGAATGTACACTTTTCTTCCTTGAATATTTTGGAAGTAAGTAAAGTATACCATGCAATAAAATGAGATATATATGACTTCTGTTTTTTTTTACTTGAGAATACAAGAGAACCCTACACTTAGTGTTTTTGTTTTAATGTTTTTGATCTATCTTTGTTTGATATGATAAACTCAGATCTCTACTTCATGAGATTTCTCCATGGGATTGGACAATGCTGGTCCTTCCCACAGCTCCCTAAAGATTCTTTCTCCGCCACGACATGAAGATCACTGGTCCTAAGGTTGATGGTAACTATATATATAACCTGAAAAGAAGTACCTGAAAATAAAGCACTTCACAAGTTATAAACCCCAGTACAAACCAAATTATAACAAGCCACATCTCTTGTTTTCTCTCTACAAAGAAGTACAAACCAAATTATAGCAAGCCCCAGTACTGAAATATGAACGCCAAGTTTGTTTTAATTCTAAGAAGAAGAAAACACTATCAATTACCATATACAAAGAAAAGGCAAACAGAAATAAACAATTTAGCTAATGCTAGTGGAAAGATCATAATATAGCATGAGTGTTCAGATCACACTGAGAACGGTATCAAGTCGAGAAGAATAGAAAACAAAATCTCAATACAAATAATTATAACGCTGTACTTCAAACAAGAGTCCACGTAACACGTAAGTGAGTAACGACGAACCTAACAGAGCAACTCTGGCTTCTTTAATGATCTAATCTCTTATATAAAGCAAAACATATTTATCTCTTTCTCATAGACACATCAACCAAACTCAACAGCAACACTGAGAATAAAGAACTCACAAAACATCTGCCAAGAGTGTTAAAATTGGGATATAGGGGTTTTTTAAATCAAACAACTCAATCAAACAATATATGTTAATAAAAGTGTGATAACTACTTGGAATTGGATAGATTTATCAATTATAGTTGAAACTGGGATTTAGGGTTTACTTGAAAGAAACGATGGCGACTTGAGGAGGACAGGTCGAAATCGACGACGGCTCTGATGGAGGACATGTTGCCGGAGTCGGAGAGAGACCATGGTGACTCTTAATCGGAGATTGCTCCACATGATTTTTCTGTCGATGTCGTGCAGGTGAGAGAGAGACACGACAAAAACAAAGCCCTCTTTCTGGTTTTTTTTTCTGCATGTTCTTCTTTTGATATCAAACAAGAGATGGGCAATTGAGTAAATTTGCTTATATCTAATTTTAGTCCAGTAATTAAAATTTAATATGAGTCATTCTGGTAATTTTCAGATGAATTAGAGTCATTTCAAATAATTCCTCTATTATTATTTACCTGCGATTAGCACGAACTGGTTTCAATGGTTTACCCAAATATACCCACAACTTCAATTAATATTCCTCAATTTATCAAAACAGAAACAAACTGTATATTATTTTTTTGATCAAACATAGATTGATTCCAAACTCAGTTTCAAGCTCCTCCAACGAAGGTTACAGAGAATAAATGGAGAGCTGATTTAGCCACATAATCAGCTTCACCATTACTAGAACGGGGTACATGAGCAAAGGAGATATCATCGAAATAAGAACTGAAATGATAAATATCAAAATCGACTATGTTTTCAACAGATGGGGCTCCATATACAAAGGTGGTGAAGGACATAACTCCTTTGAAAGTGATCTTCGTATCAATAAAGTTAGGATAGCCTCTAGAATGGTAAGATCAACGTCTTCCTTCCTTACCAAGGCAAGACCTCCACTGAGACCAGCAGGTGGTACAGAGAAGTAATAAGGGAATCTGGAAAACCTTAGTCTTTTCTTTAACAAACTGTCTTTAACAAACTGTATATTATTAATCACATGTTTTCAATAGGAAATTTATATATTTTATCGTGGATATCAAGATGTATATTTATTTAATCACATATTCATGTATTATTACTAATTTTACTAGGATAAAAACTGCACATTGCATAAGGTGTGTATGTAACAAAAATATAAAACTATAGTATTTAAAAATTTAAAATTTACATATAATTGTTTTTATATGTATTTGGAACTTTAAAGATTTTATATATTTATTTATATGTAGGATCAGAAACAATTATAATTAGAATTGTAGATCAAAATTTAGAATTAAATGGGTCCGGTTCATATATCTTTTCACTTTTCAGTGTTCGAGTGATGGAGAATAAACAGAGTGCCACATGGCTTAATTGGTACATCATTATCAAGTTCTCTAATGCTTTTTTAAGAAGCAATTGGTAGAATATTTGCATTTAGAATATATAAAGCATCAAAACAAATTTAATATAATTTATTTATTTTTCTAATAATATCAGAATTTTTTTTTTTTTAAATTCTTATTTTTTAAATAATTTTATTAAAAGGTTAAGTTAATATTAAATTTATAATTATGTTTAAAATAAAATTGATTATTCATTCGATATGATATATATATATATATATATATTAACATAAAAACCTATTAAAATAAAATTATTTATTCATATAATTTGTAATCATTGTAACTTATTATAGAAAAAAAAATTAGACCTTGATCACAAAAGTTTATGTGAGATTTTTAACAGTTTTAGTAATTTATATTCGTTTTGAAAATTTCAAAATACAACATATATAAAAAACCTAAATTTTTATTATATGATTAGTGTAGTTGAGTAGTTTATTTTAATAATAAAAAATTAAACAAAAATGATATAAAGTATACAGATTGTTAACAAATCTTGATTCTTTAAAATCATTAATAGTCATATATATCTTAATCATATTAAGTAATTATGTAGATTTTATTTAATAACTAAATATATAGAATATTTAGTTTGATATATTATTTAGTTTGCTTTGTCTTATATAACCAACAGACCTTGTTTTAAAACTATGATTTATATAAAGTGCTATAAAATTCTTAAAATAGAATTTAGAAGCCATAAAAACCTCCACATAGGACGAGGATTTTTTTAAGAGAAATTCTTGGATTCACCCCCTAGGGTGAACTTCTAGTTTCACCAACCAATAGAATTTCATTATTTAATATTGAGTATCTTTTAAAAAAAGAAACATAATATTATCGACTTATATTATGTTTATAAAATTAAAAGATACAAATAAATAAAAAATAATAGTATTTGCAAACAAAAATATTTTAAAAAAAATATTTTTTTAATACCATCAACAAAACACTATACCCTAAACCCTAAACCCTAAATCAAATAAACCCTAAACCCTTGGGTAAATCCTCAACCCTTGGATTAATCTTAAGCCCTAAAATTTATGACAAATCCAAGGGTTTAGAGTTTACCCAAGGGTTTAGGGTTTAGGATTTAGTGTTTTGCTGACGGTATTAAAAATATTTTTTAAAAAGTCAAGGATTTATCCAAGGATTTAGGGTTTACAGAAGGATTTTAAAGTTTAGGATTTAGGGTTTAGGGGTTAGTGTTTAGTATTTTGGTAATAGTATTAAAAAAATAAATTCTTTTTGCAACTAGTATTATTTTTTCTTTAGTTTTATTTTTAAATTTTAAAAATATAATATAACTCGACAATATTTTGTTACCTTTTTTAAAAGATGTTGAATATAAAATAATGTAATCCTATTGGTTGATGAATCTAAAAATTCACCCTAAGGGGTGAACCAAAAAATACCCAAAAATTACTCTTTTTTAAATTAGTACAAAAGTTATAACTTTTTAAATGATCCTTATTAGGCATTCACAACCAAAAATAGGCATGGCAACCGCCTAAACAATTATTCCGGATACTTGTGTATTGATTGTGTGGATTCATTCAATAGCTGTAAATTTAGAATTTCTTCGGATCTCTTACGTGTTGAAAAGAACTTATTACTTAGCATTTGAAAAGAAGCAGGCATGCGTATGTTTTTCTAGCTCAGTGGTGCGGGTAGTTGACGATATGTGGAGATTGTGTCTTTCTTAACTGGAAAAATGGTGGGGACCGTGGTGGAGGTGACTGGAACATACAAGAAGTGTATGTGTATGGTGGTTGGCTTGCCCCAAAACAGGGAGGAGGGTATGGTATGGGTGTTGCGAAGCCAGGCGTTACTTGAGGAGGAGGATACACCATTGGAGGCGCACCAGTGTTGATGAAGGGCGCTGCGCTGCCGCTTTCATCCCCTGCTATTCGATAAGCCTCAACCTTTTCCTTAGTCCATGGATTCCTGAAACACCTTAGAAGAAAACACTTTGGGTGCCTCTTCAGCATCCTCTTGGCCTGGTTAGGTTGCAGGATTCTAGGGGCGGGGGCATAGACTTCTTCAGTAAGAGATACAAGCTCTGCATTTTTGTCCCATTTGGCAAGCTTGTGAAGCAGCTTAGCTGGACTGGGGTCCCCTGAGACTGTTAGGAGCCCTTGTTCTGCGTTATACTCAACCGCTGTCACCCCTGTTTCCATTCCAAAACAATATATTATCTTCAATTTTTAAAAAACGAGCATATTTACAATGGCTTCAACAAGATCATCACCAGAAACATTGAGTAACTTTCTCTTTGCATTTGTCTGGCAACCTTTGCAGCACTTGATTCCAACTCTCAGAACGCAACTCTGCAGTTATCACACGGAAAAAATCGTCAGCACACTAGATGCAAAAACATGGATTGAGAGAGAGAGAGAGAGAGAGAGAGAGAGAGAGAGAGAGAGAGAGAGAGAGAGAGAGAGAGAGAGAGAGAGAGAGTACTCGGGCAGGTTGAGTTGTGTTTCCCATTGAAAAAGCACCTTAAGAACTCCAACGGAGAAGAAAGCCAAATGATATATAGAGTATGATGGTATCTAGGGTGTTTATTGATATGGCACCTTGCAGAAACAGAAACCAATCAAATGAGTTATTTGTTATTTTTTTTATCATAGTTGAAGAATACAAACTTGTATCTTGGTAATCAAAACTCAATCAAAACCCATAAGTAACCTCCTTTTTTTGTTTAGTTTACATATTGAGAAAGCAATAATGAAGAATTTGGATTTTCCGTTACGGGAAGATACATAACTGTTTTGGGTTTAATTTGGATACAGATCACCAAGAGATGATGTTCGATCTGCAGATTTGCATACTGGAAAGGGATTTCCAAGACTTTGCTTGCAAAGTGAAGAAGCGTCTGCAACAAGTAAAAGGTACTGTTTTGTTTCCAGTTATCGACCTTATAATTTGTGGTGGGATGAACCAATATGAGTTTACGCCATGACCATAGTCCCGGCAAAAGATCTAATTTTTGTCTCCGGCACAACAGAACCGAACCTCCGGTGCTTAATATATCATAGCCGTCCAGCAAATCGGGCAAACCCCTAAATTTCTAGGCCTACAAGAAGAAGCCAACTAGGGGTGTGGGTATTTCAGTTTTATTATGGGTTCGGTTTGGTTTGGATTGTTTAGGTCTAAGAAAACTTTATCCAAAATCAACCCATATTAGTTTAGTTTGGTTTATGTTCGGTTTGGTTCGGTTTTAGTTTGGTTTGGTTTGTGTTCGGTTCGGTTTTAGTTCAGTTTGGTTTGTATTCAGTTTAGTTTTAGTTCGATTTAGTTTGTGTTTTATTAGGATTAATATGGTTTTGTTTGTATTTTTCAATTCAATCGAGTTGATTTTTTAGTTTTGTTTTTGTTCAATTACAAAATATAATTTATAAAAACATTAACAATTCATCATTTGACACTAAATCATTATTTTCATATATAAATGTAAAACCAAATATCACAATAAATATTTTGAAGGTGTAATCTAATAATTTTATACTAGATGATAACCCGCGCCATGCGCAGTGTGAGCTTTTTAAAAATATATTGTATTTAAATACATATTGTGCTATCAATAATTTTTTTTACATTTGATTAGGAATGGACATTTGGATACAATTTGGTTCGGTTAGATTCTATTTGGTTTAGATCTTTGCGGTTTGGTTCAAATCTTTGCTGGTTCAGATAGCCCATTTAATTTTTATTTTAAAGATTAAAATTTATATATAAAGTAAATTTTTCAAAATCTAAAACTAAAAATAATATATAACATATAAATTTGAAAAATTAATGCCAAAATACTTAAACTTAACATAAAATTGGAGTATTTGGAGTATCGTTTAGCTATTTTAAAAATGTACATTTAACTATTTTATATATTTCTAAGTATTTAAGATATATATTTTATATATATCTTAAATATTTGGAAAAAAATCAATAAATATTTTTCGTATTTGGAGTATCGTTTAGCTATTTTAAAAATGTACATTTAACTATTTTATATATTTCTAAGTATTTGGAAAATTTTAAAAACTCTCATGTATTTTTTATATTCGTAGATGTTAAATTTAAAAATAATTAATATATTTAAGTATATAAATCTGGTTCAAGTACACTCGAATATCCGAGATATTTTGATTCAGTTTTGGTTCTTTAGATACCAAAATTTCGAATCCGTTTGGATATCTAACCAATTTTAGTTAAAAATTTGTATTACTTTTTGGATTAGATTTAATTCGGTTATCTGGATTCAGTTTTTTTGCCCAACATATATTTTTATTGTAAAAAAAATTTAAACGAAAGGGATGATGGTTCATATTGACTTTGGATATGCAATAATTTTTAAACAAACATACTTTATTATGTGCGATCCATTTAGTTAATCATTATAAATTGTTTAAGTCTCATTAGAAAAACGATTGGCTTAATTGAAAAACGTTATCACTGATCAAAAAATTTTCAATGTGAGATTTTTAACATTTTTAGTAATTTATTATCGTTTTAAAAAAATCAAAATATAACATATAAGAAAAAAAACTAATTTTATTATTATATTATTAATGTGATTTTTAATTTCTTTTAATAATATAAAATTAAATAAAAAAGAAAGAGGACATAAAATTGTCATCATATCTTTATTATTCATAAACATTAATTGTGATATATATGTTAATTATATTAGGTAATTCCGTATCTTTTATATAAAAAAAGAATATGAAATATTCTTTTATACACTACTAATTAAATATGATGGTTAATATACTAAAAATATAACATATGTTTAGTTGGACCAACATATTTCTCAAAGAGTTATAAAAATCATTTTCATTGTGACACGTGGCTACCAAAAATGTTGTAATGCTACAGGATTAACATGATTAATACTAATCAAAATCATTATATGTGAAATTATTAAATGTTTTATTAATTTATAATCGTTTTAAAAAATGCAAAATATAATATATATCAAAAAATAATTTTTTTTGTTATATAGTTAATGTTATTGTTTAATTTATTTCACTAATTTAAAATTTTTTAAAAATGATAGATGATACACTAATTTTTATTATTCAAAACCATTAATTATCATATATACTTTAGTCACATTAGGCAATTCCGTAATCTTATTTAAGGAAACAAAAACGAACACTAATGATAAATTTATGGCTAGTTTAATAAAAAGCTTATTATAAACATAGATGGACCAACTTTTTTTTCTAAAGATTTCTAAGACTCATTATGGTGATGACACATGGCTATGAAAAATGTTGTAATGTTTCTCCTTTAATATATAGTGGATTATTATCTTCAAACTTAATATAAAATCATAAAACTGTTTATTCTATTAATTTAGAACTAAAATGTGTAAAATTACTAGAAATTAATCCGCACTACACGCATAACATCTTTAATTTTCAAAAACATTAAGTATATAACTATTCTTTTGAACATAATAATTTGAGTGTTCAAAACAAAAGTGTTCAAAAAAAAAAATATTGTATTTTGAATTGTATGTTATTGAGATTAAAATTATTGTATTGTAATGTTTATGTGAGTATTTTTGTGATCTTTGAATTTGTGTTCTTTGTATGCTTAACTTATAAATGATATTGATGACCTTTTCAAGTTTTTATCACAAAATAGACCTCAAAAACTAAAATGACCAAAATAACATTTTTTATTGGGAAAATTGCCAAATATGACTCAAAACTTGATTTGAAATGCAAAATTAAACCCATACTTGAATCAAATGCAAAAGTAACTTAAAAGGCTATTGAAATTATAACCAACCCCTTGTGAACAAACAAAAAACGCGATTTGTTTTACGTTTCTATCCCTCGCAAGTCGTCTGGGACAGTTTTTTCTTAAAAATAATTTAAAAATTGTGTAATAAATATTTGATAAATGAAAAATTGGGATTATGTAATTAACATATGTCTTAAGAGATATACATTAAGATATAACAAAAGTCAGTTGTTTTCAGCATAGATGAGTGAATGTAGTGAGTCAATAATATTCTTTAGTTTAGGTTTCACCAACATATGTTGTAGTATTGTATGTGTTTCTTAGGGATAGATTTTTGAAAGTATAAATGTTTTTTTGAAAAATTAAAAATTTACCTAAGTGTGTTTATTTCTGTGTATAGTAAACACTGTTTAAGTATAATTTGATTTTATAACATGGTTAGTTAGTTAATATAGTCAATTTAGTTTAGGGTTTAGGGTTTAGGGTCTGGACGACTAATAATTAGGTCGTCTGGTAAATATATTAATAAGGCAGACGACTTAGTCGGATGTATAGCATCAACAGACAACTTAATTATAAGTTGTCCAAACCGGATTTTACCAAATTACTTTTAAACCTAACCGGATTTTTACCGGGCATATATAAGATGATTTTTTTTTTACTCACATTTCGCGAAATTCAGAAAACCCTAACGCCGTTTCTCTCAAAGGTGATTTCGAGGCGATTTCGATCCGATACAAGACCAAGGTAAATCGAAGGCTTCTCTTGCAGATTTATGGGTTTTTATTAGGATATATGTTGTTTTCCTTTACTTTTACCGCTTGGTTTTGTGTTTTCAACGATTTCGGGAAATTTTGGGTTCAAATTAGGGTTTCAAAAATTGGGGATTTCAATCGATTTGTTGTTTAGTTAGGTTGGATGTTGCTTTCCTCTCATTTCGTTTCTTGTTTGCAGATGGCGAATCAGCATGAACCTCACTTCTTGAAGCCTCTGCTTCCTGGTTTCTGAAGTGGCGTGGTATACACACGCTCTCTATTTCTCTTCTGTTTATAAGTCGTCCAGTGTTATTTACTGATTTAGATCTTGTATTAGTCGTCTAGTGTTTATAAGTCGTCCAGTGTTTATAAGTCGACTTAATTATAAGTCGTCCTTTGCTTAACTTCTCCTTTGGTGACTTGTAGACAATACCACATGCCTTCTACTCAAAACACATAGAAGGCAAGCCGAACCATGGAAAATGGACACTACGATCAGACGCTTCACACCAAACTTGGGAAGTTATACAAGAAGGAAGAACACTCACCGATGGTTGGAAAGCCTTCGCCCAAGCACACTCCCTTTACATCGGTGACATTGTCATGTTCAAAAAGGAAGGAGACATGGTATTTCGTGTGACTCCTTTCGGTCCTAGTTTACTGAGATT